TATATGTATATATTATCTATATATATTCATCTTTAATAAGGATATCGTCTGCTTTGTTTATTTTGCATCATTCATAATTGAAAACAATTCTCGACGCTGCAATTGATTTGACCTTATTGATTGATGGCATTTGGTGAAATGCGCTTGTTGTTGTAATTGAAATTGCAATGACAATAACAAGAACAAAATGCGCTTGTTAAAAATATTTATGCATAAGTTTTGATTAAACGAAAAATTATTATTGAGTTTCTGCGGGGGAGGAGGAGCAGGAGAGCAACAGCTGTCAACGACAGGCGCGGGTCAGCAAAAAAAACCCTTATCAACGTGAATGGGCAGCCGCCGTCGGGTATATGCATGTGTGTGTATGTGTGAGTGTGTGTGTCTGTGTTTACACAGGACATTGGCAATCCATAACTTTTTTGCGCTTGTCACATTTTGCTATTATGCATCAAGCGCTGTTGACATATTCCGGCTGCTGTTTTATTTCTATTATAATATCTTTATATGTATGAGTGTATCTATATACATATATGTGTGTGTGTGTGTGTGTGTGTGTGTGCGGCACCTCGAGCAGCGGCTGCCCGCAACTTGTAGGCAAAGATGGAAAATTGTCAAGCTGCAAAGTTTTGCGACATTTTGTTGCTGTTGTCGCTGGCATTTTTGTTGATTAAAAACCCCATGACTGTGAGATACAACACACACACGCGTCTGTGTGCGTGTGTGTGTGTGTGTGTGTGTGTACGCAAATGTTTTCAAGCAGCTCGTATGTGAGTGCGGCAGAGCCTGCGTCTGCTCTTGATTGTTTTGAAGTTTTAAGCCCTAATCAATTTGGGCTTTTACGGCACCTCCCAAACAGACACTTTGTCTGGCCTGTTTTTTTGCGATTCGGTTTCGTTTTTATTTTACACTTTTTTTATGCTCTTGCAAAGGGTATTATGCGCTGAAGAAGACATTTAAGAGACAAAAAAAAAAAAATATAATATATGTATATAAATATATTTATTTATACATATTTAGCATTAAGAGCCGAGTCGATTTAAATGTTCTGCTTTTTATGCTAACTAGTTTTCAGTTATTATTCTTTCTCGATGAAACTTAGCATAGATTCGTGTTTTTTTTTTGTGCCACTTAGCTGCCAAGGCTACAAATCGGCTTGGAATCAAATCGCCATTAAATATATTTATTTGCCAGCAACCGAAACTTAAATAAACTTGGTTGACAAAAGCAAATCTAAACCAAAACCAAATATGACTTTTTTAAACAAATTATTTAATTAAATTATATTAACTTTGTTTAATATTTGAAAATATACTCATTCAAAATATAATTATATTGAAAAATTAAAAAAATTAAATTAACTAATTTTTAATACATACAAAATAACATATGTGAAGTTAATAAATTAAATGTATATTTAATTATTATTATTTATTATTATTTATTTTCATATAGTTAATATTACTTCTAAATATAAAATCAAAATTCATTTTATTTAGACTATTTATCGAAACTAAGCATTACTAAGCGCCTATCATATAAGTATTAACTTCTTATTCTCTTAATATATCATATATAAATTATTAGAGCTCAACATCCTCACAAGGGTATATACTCTTCGGCTGTTCGAAGATAATGATACATTTTTTTCTTTCGATCCGGTATCATTTCTCATTTTTTTTTTTAATGAGAAAAGTTTTAGCAGCTTAAGCAGAAAATACACTAAGCAACAAAAACAAAAACGTAATTAGCTTTAATCAGTTGTTTACACTACTTATCTGTGGCCCCCTCTCACTTTCTCTCGCCCTGGCAGCTCAATCCCTTTATGCAAAATGCGATGAGAAGCAATTTCAATGCCAGAACGGCGACTGTATACCCATACGATTTGTGTGCGACGGGGATGCCGACTGCAAGGATCACAGCGACGAGCAAGTCGAGGAGTGCAAATTTCGCGGTAAGTTTAGCGCAAAATTTCCGCTGCATACTTTTAGGTGGCGCACGCTACGCTGACGTCCATCAAAGTGAGTACAGCTCATTTGGCGAATATCAATCAAAATGCGAAACAAGTTTACGTTGCGCCGTGCCAGTTCGGGGGGCTGCCTTGCTGGTGGGCCGTGGCGGGGGGGGGGAAGGGTTGGGCATTTGGTCTGGACAGCTGACCAAAACTGTGCCAGGGCAGTGCGCTCATTTAGTCGCTAAACATTGGCGCTTAACTGTAATTGCAACGCAATTTTGCTGACTGCGGCATGCAACGTTGTTGCATCAGCTGAAAATGTTTTATCATCGCTGCAAATTTGTCGCACGAGACACATTTTGCGTCGCCGTTCGACATAAAAGGAAACTATGTGAGGTCGTCTGCTTTATTTTATCTCACAATATTTGTGCCAGCCACCAAAAAATAAATAAAATAATAAATACATAAATACAGAGAATAAAAGCGAGGGGCCGAAGAGAGAGAAGCACAGCGTGAAAATGCGCACAATGCAGTTGCACTTGTTGTTGTTGCTGCAACTGTGCATAACTTAATTTTTATGCAATCTTTGCCGAAGGGCAAAATCTGAAGCGCAGTGAAATTGATAATGAGCCTCAAAGGCAGCCAACAAAGAAACCAGCAGCTCAACTTTTCCTTAAAAAAGAGTTGCAACCGTAGCTGCATCCACATAATGAGCGCAAAAGGCAAATATGAAAGGAAAACCAAAAAAATTATAAAAAAAAACCGACTGCAGGGTATAAAGAAATGCAAGAAATGGGCACAAGACAGCGCATAAAGCTACATTAAAAATGGCAGCGAATTGAAATTGAAATACTTTCGCTGCAGGCAAACGAATAAGCTGCAACTTCTTCTAGCGGCACTTAAAGTATCTTAAAGAAGTCGAAGCTTTTAACTTGTTTGCCTTGTATATTATTTTATATTTTGATTATATTTTCAACTTCTTAACCGTATTTCTTTCTCAAAGTGCAACCGAATAAGGCAAAGCTCAGAGTACAAATTTAACTTTATAATTTTATTTTTATACATTTATTTCGTATAATTCTTAAATATTTGTTTTAATTTTATGATAGTATTTTACTTTTATAATATGCATTAAATTTTCTTAAATAATCAATCTTAAATATTTAGTAAATTTTTCAAATAGTATTTTGTTTTTATTATGTATATATATATTTATTATGGGAAGAAAAAGAAAATGAAATGCATGTAAAAATAAAATTATAAATTTTCTTTTGTATTAAATTTTCTTTAAAAGGATTTTTTAATTCCTTAAATCTACAAATTGAAAAAAAGTATGCCCTAAAAAATTGAATTCAAATTTAATTTAGCTGAGCAATACCAGGCTATCATTTATCGTATATTTATAAGAGGCACAAAATAAATTATAATAAATTCATAATTAAAATTTAATTTAGCTAAAATTTGTATAAGCTCCACAACAGTAAACTAAAGAGAGTTAATCAAGACAGCAACAATCAATTCTATATTTATTCCTAATTATTTTAATACTTTATTGATTTATTTACTTTTTAATGACTAATTTTATTAATATGAATATTGTTATTAATTTGACTATTTTATTTTATTTACAATATTTAATTGCGTTATTTACATAAAAAACGTTTTTTAACTGTAATCGTAAATATTTTATGTGAGCTGTGCTGCAGCTCTCGTATTTATAATGAGCATAAGTCCTTAAGCTCTTATAGCTCAATCGCTTACGTATCATTACTAAATCAGGACTCAGCTCAGCATAAATGCGCTTAAGAAATTATCATAGATGCTCAAACACACTCCACCCATGCCTCCCACTGCCAGTTAACTTGTGCACTCACAACAAAGCTCAGTTGAATCGAGATAAAACTCAGGCGAATTTTGCGCTCGTTTTGCGCTCGACTCGTCGCTGTTTGCGAGTGAAAGCTTCAACTGAGATTTGAGAGATGCTGCAAAGCAGCTCTCGGCACATGTTCTTAAGGATTGGCAGCAGGCAGCTGTTCACTCAGTTGGCGGCGGACTTTTCAAGCAAACGGACGGTGAACGCTGAAGAACAAATAGAAGGCAAAACCCGTCGAGTGAACAAAAGCCAAAATAAAAATATCAAGAAAATTGTGTAGGCGAGAGCTGACTAGAAACAAACAACAGAAAACTGTGCGAAAAGTAAGCGGCAAATTGCAGTTAAAATGAAAAACGAAAATTTTGTGCCAAGTGTCGGAGTTTTGACAGGCGCTCGAAAATAAATTGCCTGCGTGATATTATATTAATATGTCCTCGAAATGCTGTGCAACTGGCTAAGTCCTGGCGAGTCCTTTGAAGTTATGCAAAGTGTTTTTGACAAAATGCCAGGCGCCAGCCGTCCAAGTCAACACAAAAAGCTTGCCACGGAAATTTGTGTCTTGTGCCATCTATTTTTCTCTCCTCTTCTTTTTTTTTGTGAATTTTTTTGAGAGGTCCTTTTTTGCGGGCAGGCTTCCTGTAAAGTCGTTTGCCGTTGTCAGGCTAATCGGCAATGTCCATCTGTGTGTCATTTTGCGGGCCGAAGCTATTTAGAATTCAGGCTTTCTGTCTGATTTGCCCGCTTTCACTTATCATTTATCATTTAGTTGTTGTGCCCACATTAAATGTTTTTCCTCAATTTCCCGCTGTATTGCCGCATGTTGAGCCTGACAGTCATATTTTATCTAGTCACTTCCCAACACTGGCATGGCCCCTATGGACATACAGATATATTTATTAGGCCGACTTTTGACAGTTGTTTTTTGTTGTCTGTTGACCGTCATGAACTTGAAAATTATGCGCCGCCCGGCACATTTTTGTGTGGCACAACGGAAATTATGCAATCAATTTGTGCAACTTGAGTGACTCCTCAAATATGCCACACAATGTCGCACAATTGAGTTGACAGCTTGGAAATTGACATTACACGCATTTCGAGGACCCAAAACAAAGTGATCAAGTGTTAAATATTGAGGAAAAAACGCGCATAAATCAAATTAACTAATTTTTTGCTTACGATTTTAAAGGCTTTAAACAATTCCATTCAACATGGGACACATTTGGTGTTTAATATTTATGTCCAGTTTGCTGCACACACAAAGCCACAGTCTGGGCGCAATGGTCACTGCACATGGTATGAAAACAAATATGATAAATATTTAATTGGAATTAGCAGAATTTTGCAAAATACCTTTTAATAATAAACCAAAGGCCTAAAGCGCACTTGTCAATTTTATAACTAAAATATTTATTAATTCTTTGTGCCCAAACTATTTTCTATGCAAACAAGTTTTAGTCAAATATGCTAGGTATGGAAATAGTATTTAATATTTTTTGCATTAAATATAAAATAAAATATGTTATCTACATCTCGTTAATGGATTTTTATGATCTATTTCTAAGTTGTATGCGAATTCAGCTATTTGCCTTGGGCCTATAATTGTATATGAATGAATTAGAACAAAACAATTCATCTATTTTTCGATTCTCCACAAAAATCATAGGGAGGAAAATACAGAGTACGTTTCTTCAGCTGTTAAGTTTGCAAAATTCGCAATAAATATTTATTTATTTTTATTTATTTAAATTCTAAATCTACTATTTCTCATTATTTCTTAAATTAAGCATGTTGATTCCTTTGCAAGCGATTTTGTACAACATACTTGAGGCAGACGCTACAAATAAAAGTTTGCAGGCTGGACTTTTATTCTGTAAGCATCTCAAAGTATCGCTTTGCAGTTTAATTTTCTATAATTGGCCATATTATGTGGTAATTTTTGTTAAGCTCAACTCTCTGGCAATACACAACTACTTCGACTTTGACAAGTTCACTTACTTAAGGCATTTCACTTTCAGCTTTCAACAAGTTGCATGCAATTCACAGCCTGTCTTACACAGCCTTGCAACACCTTTAAACTGGCCATCAACATGCCCAAAATCCCAATCAAGATACACTCATATGCAGCCAGCACAACACGCTGCAACACACTTAAAGGACACTTGCATAGGGTTTGCGTACCGCGTTGCATGCAACAGAATATTTTGCACACGCCGCTTGACATTTGCATACAAATTGCCAGGACGCTGCTGTTGCCGCTGCTGCCAAAGGCCAAAGTTTTTTAATCAACTGAAAAGCCGTTTAAACTTAGTTTAAAAAAAGCGGCAACTAAAAAAACAAATAGTTAAAAAAAATTGCGCAAATTATGCTGAACTGTGTCTGGTAATTTGCCGCACACTTTTATCAACTGCAGCATGCGTAAATACAATCAATGGCAACATTTCAATTTTGGCCTGTCCGCATATCCTTTCTGGTTTTCTGCCTCTTTAGCCAGAAACCATAAATTAAATTTGATTTTTAATTGTTGCTCAATGTGGCATTAAATTTAATGTAAGCTCAGCATGAAAAAAAATTGAATGAGAAATGCACAGCAATTTGTCCACGGGCCACATCCTTTGTATACATACATATAAACATATATATATATATATCAATGTATATGTATTTGTCTATGTATGTTTGCATGCTATGCCACATATTAGTAAAAAAAATATATACAAAATGTCAAATACTGATATGTGCTTACAAGCTACATAAAAAGAAATCGAATCGAATGGAGCTGCGGGCATTGGCAACATTCGATATATAGTATACAGTTAAGAGAAAAACAATATATATATATAAAAAGGAAAACCAGGATAGAAAAATTGGCTTGTGTTTGCCGAAGTCCAAATGCCCTAGCAGACATAAACTAATTACTTATAGGGTAGATAAACATTAAAAAAAAATTAATAGATAGATACAGATATAGATACAGATATAGATATAGATATAGATATAGATATAGATATAGATATAGATATAGATATAGATATAGATATAGATATAGATATAGATATAGATATAGATATAGATATAGATATAGATATAGATATAGATATAGATATAGATATAGATATAGATATAGATATAGATATAGATATAGATATAGATATAGATATAGATATAGATATAGATATAGATATAGATATAGATATAGATATAGATATAGATATAGATATAGATATAGATATAGATATAGATATAGATATAGATATAGATTCCTTTGGATAACCTTTGTCTTAAGCCTAAGACTGAGTCCTCTTCTGCTCTTCTCTTCATGCCAAAATCACCATTTAATGCGTTACATATTTCTTGTCAGAAACAGAATACCTTATGGCGGGATTAAATAAAAGAGAGCATTTCAAAGTGTTTGCTGGTTTGCACATGTGACCATTTTTTATTGTTCAACGGTTGTGAGCTTGTATTTATATTTGCTTTTTATTTTTAACAAATATTGGCGCACATTGAGGTCTATTTTTTTTATACTTTATTTTTCATTTATTTGTTTCTTCTGGAATAGATTCTTGTGGAACAGAAGTTTTTGTGCTTTTCTGTTTCATTTGACTGCGCGCACTGAGGCCCTGAGGCATCGGACCGGCGAGTTGTGCCCATAAAAAGTTTAGAAAAGTAATCATATAAAATGCTATTGATATGGCAACTTGTGACGGTGCCGCATAATGTGGCAGTGCGCTCAGTTGTTCTAGATGCCGCATTCCAAACTGATTAAAATTAATATGATTTCTCCCTTGGAGGCGAAAGTTTGTAAAGGGTTGGCAGGGCATATTTGTGGAGGCCCAGACAGTAATGTTCTTTGAGCAGAAATTTTAAAGATGATAACCAAACAAAATTTTTGACACATAATTTTATATTCCATCCAGAAAGTGAAATATATTTTCATGATTTTCTAAAAATTAACTAAACAAAAATTTCGCAAATTTGTCGCAAGCTATTTTGTTCAGCCTTCTGATTATTTTTCCCAGTGGACATTCGAGCTAAATGTGTGATAAATGGACACAAAATAGCTATTTTTCTATGCAAAACGACTGTATAAATATATTTTTATGAATTTAAGCTGACCATGAAAACTAAATAAGTGCCATTAATGTAAATTTGTAGTCTCCGTCGCTTTAATTTGGGCCCAACAGCATGTGTTTAAATAAAATATTTAATGCACATATCAAACAGAAAAACAAGTTGTTAAAAGGCAACATATGTTGAACCCCCCCCCCCCCTCTCCGGGACGAGCCGGCATTGAAAATTCAGCGCCTGCCGCGTATGCAACGATTTATTTATGTTTATTTTTTATACAAACCCCTTTTGTTGTTGTATTTGTGTGGTATAGTATTTTTCTTTGCACAGCACGTGCTCAAGTGCGTGTAAATAAACAGACTCACACCCTCACACACGCAATCACACACGCACAAACAAACACTCAGACACACACTTTTGAGTACAACTGAGCATAAAAACAATTTCATGCGGGCAGCTTTTGTTTTTGATACGGGTCAACTTCAAAGTTCACAGGCAGTCAGCCATACAGCCACACACAATGAATACTCTGCAGTTACAATTGGTTTAATATGTTTGGTTTCGCAATACTCTTTACAGAGGCCACCTGCTCCTCGGACCATTTCCGCTGCACCAATGGTAATTGCATTCCAAACAAATGGCGCTGCGATCAGGAGAACGACTGCTCCGATGGCTCCGATGAGGACAAGACGCTCTGCAGTAAGTTCAGCTAGCTAAATACTCTTTACTATATACACACATATTTTATACTATATGCAAACCCAATTATATAGTGAATGAATGTCCCAACAACGAGTTCAAATGCACGACCGTTGACCAGTGTATACCCCGCAATTGGCTCTGCGATGGCAGCAACGACTGTCGCGACAAGTCCGATGAGGCGCAATGCAGTAAGCAACTAGAACAATGTATACCCTGCCACAATCTGCCACAATCTGCCACCCTGCCACACGCTGTGCATAACTTACTTGCTCTCGCTTAACATTTAATAAAGTGTAGCGCATAATTTCAAAACTATGCTACCAAGCCTCATCCCCTTCGCACACATCGTTGCATTCAAGTGTATCCATAAACACATGACCTCTACACACACACACACACAGACACACACAATGGGCACTCACACACACACACAAAATAGCACGCATACGCCGCGTTGACCGTGTCGGCAACGCCTGCCAACAGCGCATAAAGTGCTTAACCCATAACACACGCATTCACACACGAACACACACTCACAACAACAACAACAATAGCAACAACAACCCTTGGCCTTGTCTATGCATTGTGTACGGGCATTTTGACCACATGAGAGGGGGTAAAATGAAGGCGGACAGCGGCTCTTTCAGCTTATTTGACAGCCGCTGAACTTAAATGAATTAAAAAATCTCCCGACTCTGGAAATTTATTAACCGCTAGTTTCAAACGCTCTCTCACAGCCCAAACTACTCTTCTTCTCGTTCCGCTTTTATGTCTGTCCATCAAAAAATTCACAGAGGCGCGCACCTGTTCGCCGGATGAGTACAGCTGCAAGAGCGGCGAGGGCGAGTGCGTTCCTCTTGCCTGGATGTGCGATCAGAGCAAGGATTGCAGCGATGGCTCCGATGAGCATAACTGCAGTAAGCATATCCATCGGGATATACTATATAGATTTTCCTAGACTTTTGAGTTGTAGTGAAAGTTGCGCTTAAATTTTCTACCATATTAAATTAACTTTTTTTTAGTTCAGAATTTTGTTTGATTTGAAAGAAACTTAAAATAACGAATTCTATTTGTAAAACGTATTTACTTAGAGCATTTCCTAACATAAATTTTAATTATTACATATATATATATATATAAATATAATTTTAATATATATGCTATGAAAAGCGAAAAGCAATTAAATGATTTATTCAACATCTACTGTAGTTTATAGCTTTCAGCACCCAGCAAACATTATAAATATTTGCCTCTCATTTACGTTGACTTTGAGCTCAACAAACAAACACAATATCCAGTGTTTGTTTAATTGTAAAATATTCAATAAATGTGCAACACTGGCAGGGCAAGATTTTAGGGACAAATCATTATAGAGAGTTTGGTCCACCTTATATATAATCATTGGATAATTTAATTTCCGATAAAACAAAACATATTTTTATCGTTTTAATTGTCAAATTGATTTTGGGCCATTTAAAATAATTTCATCTTTAAAC